GCTTTTATCTCAAGAGCGTCCATTGCTCTTAAAGTCTGAAAAAGTGCGACATGCAAAGATGACTCAGTCTCCATACGCATTGTCTCGTACAATGACTTATAAGAACAAAAAAAAAACTATAGTTTCTCTCCCATAACCCTAAAAACTCTTAAAGATGATTTCCCAAAGATCTGTGCCCCATTTTTAACTTTTAAAAGTGTTCCATTTTGAACACTGCCCGAGGATGTGCACTATATAATCCTAGCAGACATCTACTCCCACCATTATTGTGATAAACTAAGTTTTTTTTAACATAAATGAAAAAGAGAAAAGGAGAAGAAATTCTCTTTACCTCTAGATTGCTAGGAGTGAACGTTCTGTCGTAGCGACGAGTGCACATCAACCGGGAAGAGGATGACCTGATTTCTTGAGTATGAAAATGCTGTTTTTTCTCTTTGGAAACGCAAGTTCTATGAAAAATGCGGAATGGGCTTAGGGTTTTATAGAGAAGAAGGCGACGCTTAGCTTCCCCTGTAAGCGAAGTTTGGGTGGGACGTGTTTCTAGCTGTTGAATGCAACCACGTGTCGTCAATTCTCATGAAGAGTAACCTTCATGCTTCTTGGACATCAATCAATGTTTCCCTCTATTGGAGACGCTAAACGTTGGCGTGGTTATCTCCTCCACATTAAATGCACCCTCATCCACATTTAATGTTTTAAAAGATATAATGCTCATGGTTGACACTTATTGTGCAAAGACACATCTGTCAGATAAAGCTTATTTTATTGACCATAACAACTGTTAAGTGCAACGGATAACATCTGAAGAGATCGTTCGAATAAAACACTATTTCCCATATGTCAAACTCAGAGCGAAATGATTTCCAACTTTCGACAGCAAAATACTCTAAGTACTTTTAGGTCACGGATGACAGATAGAGTTTGAAACACATCGATATAGCATTGGGTAGGATCCGACATAGGTCGCTGAACCTTTTGGGATGATCACCTCAAGTCGCTTGTGTAACTCTCGAAAATCCATGCTACAACCTCTATTCAGTTTGTTGGTCAAGTGAAGTCATCGACCTTGTTTCGTTCAGGCTGTTCTCAACTGATAGTTCGAATAGGTGCTCTTCGAGACAAGTCAGATCGCAACATAATCATAAAGTTCTCAAGATTCAATTTTTGAACCTTAAGAACTGGGGAGCTTCTGTTATGCCTAAAAAAACAAGGCTGATGCGAGCTTACGTCAGCCAGCACCAATTAGAGTTCAGGAAGACTTTGTGCTGCCCAGGCACTGCCACGTTGTCAAAAAGGCAGAAGGAGCATAGCTGTCATCAACTTGGAAGATTCAGGCTTTGTCTACGAGTGGATGAGAATCGCCCACCTGTCCAAGCCTTACACGATTTGAGGATATTTGACATCTAATCAGCCAATGGGAAGCGCGGTAGGAATTATACTACACCTGCCCACTTGCAGACTTGTAATCATTACCCTGAAACTTTCTACTATAAATAGAGGGCTTCCTCTCTCATTTTCATGATTCTGATAAAAAAAACTACATTCTGATTGTAACATTTTATTCTCATAACACATATAACTTACGAGAAAGAGACTGACTTAATATTCACTCTGAATAATCAGTCACTTGTACCTCTACTCGTTATTCGCTATACGTGACCTCCTATAACATCATATATATAAGAAGAACAGTGAACGTAGGATTCGCTTTAAGCATCCGAACCATTTTAAAAATCATCTTCCATTTACTTCAGTGTATTTTCCGTTCACGTATAATTTCTAAGCCAGCTTAACAATTTGCATATGCGAGTCGTTGGTGTCAAAACCAAGCATCAACAAATATGGACTTAATGTTCTCTAAATTTATAAAACAAAGTGTACCTTTATTTTTGTAATAAATTAGTAGGTGAGGCCGAGAGGGAGATTGAAAGTGCAGCATGTTATGGTTATGAGATGTAGCAGGGGTGTAGGGAAATGGTTTGCTGGTTTTCTTTTTTCATGTTTAGAGAATTTTTCTTTTTTCATGTTTAGATAATTTTTTTAACTTTTAATTTTTTATTTTATTATTGAATTTTAAGAATTATAGTTGAAATTTTTATGAGTTATTTGTATAGAAGGGCAAAAATGCCCTTACATCGTTTTAATGAAACGCGCAGCAGCCTCGTTATTAATGGGACTAAAGTGGATTTTTCTAATTTTACTGGACCTGATGGTATGTTGTTAAATCTAAGGGAGGAAATGATTATTAACTCTCTTTATGACATTAGAAAAGAATTTATAATCTTGTCGACGAAACATCTAGAAGACACATAAAAGAAGAAAAAATATTGTATATAGCTTTCATCGAACTCTCTGATTGAGTATTCGCATAACAAATCGAAACAAATTTCGGCGCTATTTTCTCATCTAAAATTTGCGATGGCCGAACACTTGGCTTCAATTTTTGGCACAGAGAAAGACAGGGTTAACTGTCCATTTTACTTCAAGATCGGCGCCTGTAGACATGGGGACCGCTGCTCGCGCCTCCACACCAAACCTAGCATTAGCCCTACTCTCTTGCTTTCAAACATGTATCAACGCCCTGATATGATCACACCTGGCGTCGACGCAAATGGCAATCCCATTGACCCCCGCAAGATCCAGCAGCACTTCGAGGTAATTTTATTTTTATAAACGTCTTTATATTATTTATAGTTCAAGCTAGGATTTTAATAATTTCTTATTAACAATCCAAAATCTTTGGTGTATTATAAGTACTTTTGGTTTAAAAATCGTGGTAGTATTGAGGGTAAAAAAGAAATTAAAAGGAAGTAACTTGTTTATTCTGAAACTCATTTCTGAAGAAGTCCTCAGCGACACGTTTTCTAGGATTCTTTTGACTGTTGTTCTGGGGAAAGATTGATTGTCTCCTCGTCACATAGCAAACACCTTTTAGTTCAACTTATGGTTTTTAATTCTTCAGAATTTTATGTGTTGATAGCAAGTTGTTAGGATAATATTTTGTTATTTTTCTTTTTTCTGGTCAACCTTTTAATAATGATTTAAATTTTATGATACAGATGTGACAGATTCATGTTATAATACTTTTTATTTATTTAGTGATATTTTAGACATTTTGATTGACAATTCAGAAACAGGTCTACATAAACTAGATAAAATTCAAAATCGAAAATTTGGATTGATCCTAATATCTGATAATTATTTTTTAATTTAACAAAACTGTGGAAGTATTAAATTGAACTAGAAATAAGAAAAATTTTATAGCTCTTGGATACTTTTTGTGTCAGTGAGAACTGAACTTTTGTGTTGAGATTTCTGGAAACATTGCCATACTTTACGGTATTCTATGTAACTGCTGTTTTCGAAAAAAAATTATTAGTTGATCCATGTAGCAAACCAAACGCCTCTTTTTGTTAGTTTGTTGTCTGACCATTATTTAATATATTGGATTATAAATTTTCAATTACATGTTTCTCATGGACTGGTTTGACCATGGAAGATAGCCACGGTCATCAAAGATTTTGGCCATTTGTTTGACATGTAAGATGATTCTGGTTAATGTGTGGTGTGGTGATTTCTATACATACTTTACATGATATCTTCTGTTTTTGTTATGATTGCTTTAGCATATAAGTGTTTCAAATGAAATTACAGGATTTTTATGAAGATCTCTTTGAGGAATTGAGCAAATATGGTGACATTGAGAGCTTGAATGTCTGTGACAACCTAGCTGACCACATGGTAAGTGTTTCATGAACTATTTTTTTTTTTTTGTCTTTCTGGGTAACTTATGTATTTCATCTTATTTGATGTGTAAGTTCATTTAAATCTCTATGCAGGTTGGTAATGTGTATGTTCAATTTAGGGAGGAAGAATATGCTGCAAGAGCACTAAAAAATCTGACTGGGAGGTTTTATGCTGGTTAGAGTTCTTACTGCTATTCTGTATTTTTAAGTGTTTGATAGAGTGATCTGACTGATTCTTCTCCCCTTTCATTTTATATTAGTTCAACTTCTAAAGTTTGTAATTCTTCAATGTGTGATGAATTGTGGTGAATGCTTTGGACTTTTTCTTATTTATCTTGTTCTTACCTTGATTTTAACATCAATAATGACAGGACGTCCCATTATTGTGGACTTCTCCCCTGTGACGGATTTCCGTGAAGCCACCTGTAGGCAATATGAGGAGAACACCTGCAACCGTGGTGGATACTGCAATTTCATGCACCTGAAAAGGATTGGCAGGTAATTGCAGAAATTCTCGTCATGTTCTTTTTCGTTTAGTAGGCAGAATGGAGTGATATCATTTGAATCTTTTTCCTCCACTGTATCTTATTTTTTTAGGGAGTTGAGGCGTGAACTATTTGGGAGATACAGGCGAAGGCCTAGCCACAGCAGGAGCCCCTATAGGCATCGCAGCCATGAAGAGCGTTCACATGGTGGGCATGGTTCTAGCAGAAGGTTCAATGACAGGGAGTGCTATCATGAAAGTAGGAGCAGGAGGCATAGGAGCACAAGCCCTAGCCATAGGAGAGGGAGAAGCAGAAGTCCTGGTGGAAGACGGAATTGTAGTCCTGTCAGGGAAGGCAGTGAGGAGAGACGAGCCAAAATTGAGCAGTGGAACAGGGAAAGAGAAATGCAAGAAAATGCTAGTAAAGAAAATACCGGCAACAACAAAGAATCCGAAAATATCAATGATGGTTATATGCAAAATGGTAACCAACACTGTGGATATCAGCAGCAGCCTCCGCCGAATCAAGGAGACTATGTATACTGATCTACTTAACAGTATGTGGTTCGTTTTCGCTCCCATTTATGTTTATATTGTGACTTTTAGCTTTCTCTCTAGATGAAGTTACATTTCAGTGGAGGAGAGCGCCCATTTGATAAATACATCTTACAGCCATTTTCCACTTTGCAGGTGGTGTACAGGTCAATCCTGTAATGTAGCTTGGGAAATGTTTTCCACATTTTTTTTTTCTTTTTGCTGTTTTTGTATTCGCATAACAAATCGAAACAAATTTCGGCGCTATTTTCTCATCTAAAATTTGCGATGGCCGAACACTTGGCTTCAATTTTTGGCACAGAGAAAGACAGGGTTAACTGTCCATTTTACTTCAAGATCGGCGCCTGTAGACATGGGGACCGCTGCTCGCGCGTCCACACCAAACCTAGCATTAGCCCTACTCTCTTGCTTTCAAACATGTATCAACGCCCTGATATGATCACACCTGGCGTCGACGCAAATGGCAATCCCATTGACCCCCGCAAGATCCAGCAGCACTTCGAGGTAATTTTATTTTTATAAACGTCTTTATATTATTTATAGTTCAAGCTAGGATTTTAATAATTTCTTATTAACAATCCAAAATCTTTGGTGTATTATAAGTACTTTTGGTTTAAAAATCGTGGTAGTATTGAGGGTAAAAAAGAAATTAAAAGGAAGTAACTTGTTTATTCTGAAACTCATTTCTGAAGAAGTCCTCAGCGACACGTTTTCTAGGATTCTTTTGACTGTTGTTCTGGGGAAAGATTGATTGTCTCCTCGTCACATAGCAAACACCTTTTAGTTCAACTTATGGTTTTTAATTCTTCAGAATTTTATGTGTTGATAGCAAGTTGTTAGGATAATATTTTGTTATTTTTCTTTTTTCTGGTCAACCTTTTAATAATGATTTAAATTTTATGATACAGATGTGACAGATTCATGTTATAATACTTTTTATTTATTTAGTGATATTTTAGACATTTTGATTGACAATTCAGAAACAGGTCTACATAAACTAGATAAAATTCAAAATCGAAAATTTGGATTGATCCTAATATCTGATAATTATTTTTTAATTTAACAAAACTGTGGAAGTATTAAATTGAACTAGAAATAAGAAAAATTTTATAGCTCTTGGATACTTTTTGTGTCAGTGAGAACTGAACTTTTGTGTTGAGATTTCTGGAAACATTGCCATACTTTACGGTATTCTATGTAACTGCTGTTTTCGAAAAAAAATTATTAGTTGATCCATGTAGCAAACCAAACGCCTCTTTTTGTTAGTTTGTTGTCTGACCATTATTTAATATATTGGATTATAAATTTTCAATTACATGTTTCTCATGGACTGGTTTGACCATGGAAGATAGCCACGGTCATCAAAGATTTTGGCCATTTGTTTGACATGTAAGATGATTCTGGTTAATGTGTGGTGTGGTGATTTCTATACATACTTTACATGATATCTTCTGTTTTTGTTATGATTGCTTTAGCATATAAGTGTTTCAAATGAAATTACAGGATTTTTATGAAGATCTCTTTGAGGAATTGAGCAAATATGGTGACATTGAGAGCTTGAATGTCTGTGACAACCTAGCTGACCACATGGTAAGTGTTTCATGAACTATTTTTTTTTTTTTGTCTTTCTGGGTAACTTATGTATTTCATCTTATTTGATGTGTAAGTTCATTTAAATCTCTATGCAGGTTGGTAATGTGTATGTTCAATTTAGGGAGGAAGAATATGCTGCAAGAGCACTAAAAAATCTGACTGGGAGGTTTTATGCTGGTTAGAGTTCTTACTGCTATTCTGTATTTTTAAGTGTTTGATAGAGTGATCTGACTGATTCTTCTCCCCTTTCATTTTATATTAGTTCAACTTCTAAAGTTTGTAATTCTTCAATGTGTGATGAATTGTGGTGAATGCTTTGGACTTTTTCTTATTTATCTTGTTCTTACCTTGATTTTAACATCAATAATGACAGGACGTCCCATTATTGTGGACTTCTCCCCTGTGACGGATTTCCGTGAAGCCACCTGTAGGCAATATGAGGAGAACACCTGCAACCGTGGTGGATACTGCAATTTCATGCACCTGAAAAGGATTGGCAGGTAATTGCAGAAATTCTCCTCATGTTCTTTTTCGTTTAGTAGGCAGAATGGAATGATATCATTTGAATCTTTTTCCTCCACTGTATCTTATTTTTTTAGGGAGTTGAGGCGTGAACTATTTGGGAGATACAGGCGAAGGCCTAGCCACAGCAGGAGCCCCTATAGGCATCGCAGCCATGAAGAGCGTTCACATGGTGGGCATGGTTCTAGCAGAAGGTACGATGACAGGGATCGCTATCATGAAAGTAGGAGCAGGAGGCATAGGAGCACAAGCCCTAGCCATAGGAGAGGGAGAAGCAGAAGTCCTGGTGGAAGACGGAATTGTAGTCCTGTCAGGGAAGGCAGTGAGGAGAGACGAGCCAAAATTGAGCAGTGGAACAGGGAAAGAGAAATGCAAGAAAATGCTAGTAAAGAAAATACCGGCAACAACAAAGAATCCGAAAATATCAATGATGGTTATATGCAAAATGGTAACCAACACTGTGGATATCAGCAGCAGCCTCCGCGGAATCAAGGAGACTATGTATACTGATCTACTTAACAGTATGTGGTTCGTTTTCGCTCCCATTTATGTTTATATTGTGACTTTTAGCTTTCTCTCTAGATGAAGTTACATTTCAGTGGAGGAGAGCGCCCATTTGATAAATACATCTTACAGCCATTTTCCACTTTGCAGGTGGTGTACAGGTCAATCCTGTGATGTAGCTTGGGAAATGTTTTCCACATTTTTTTTTTCTTTTTGCTGTTTTTGGCCTTTCCCAACTACTTTGAAGCTGCTTGATTGTGTGCATCACTGCATGTGTTGGCTTTTCTAGAGCACTTAGTTCCCACTATTATCTATCAGTTTAATTTTAGCCTATTACCAGTTTTTTTCCCTACCAAATTTTCTTCCGTCTCAAGTTTTTGTTTCAAGCTAGTTTCTCTTACCTTCACTAACTATTTTTTACTGAATTTCATGCTTTAGAATTTCTCTTTTTAAAAATTGACTAGATTCTATTGATTTCACTCTTGTCAAACTGTTGATTGGGATAGTATTTCACTTTACACGTTTCTAGCTTTTGAAAATGTTTACACTGGAGTTGATAGGCACTGGGCATTTTATTGAAGATCTTAGAATTTATGGCCACACTTTCTCATATTGAAGCCTTAGTTCTGATATCTTTGTTGCAAGTGTGTGCATGCAATAAAAGTTTTTCATTTTTTGTTCTCAGTGTGTGCATGTTTGTGTTTATGAATTTTACTGTTGGGGATTCTGTGACCACCATACATCAAGGCCTGCAAAAGATGAAATTTTCATGGTTCTTGATTGGGTTTTGCTTCTTTAAACTGCCCTATTTGTTGTTTAAATGTAAATGAATATTGGTATTCTTCTTACGCATGTTATGAGTTTTGCAGGTTCAGGTATCCTGCTTCTAAGGAACAGAGTGTTTTTTTAATTGCAGCTCATAATAGAAATGAAATTTGTGTACAGGTTGTTTGTTGCAGTATGAGATGTTACAGGATGGGTTTACAAGGTCTCAATCAGATTACTTCTAGAAAAAAAATGAGAAAGCCATGGTGATGTCAAAGTCATTGCTATATTCAGGTCCCTCGATGTTACTGGTGTTTTGGTAATCGGAAACGGCAATCTTTGGCATTGTTAGTAGATATTTCATTCATCCTTGAATTTGATGAATATTTATCTGGATCCTGGAAAAGATAATTATGAATGGCGTTATGAGATATTCATCCTTGATTTGTTTAGTTAATCTTGCAAATTACCAGATTCTGTTGCGTGATATAGTTGAATGAATTCTGGGTTCTCTTCATGGATTGTCTAGATTCTTGTTGCCACTAAAATTTTTGTTTGGCATATACAAATTGGTTGCGGTGGCTAATTTTGATATCAACATCTGTGAAGTTAAGTAGCAAAAGCATGGCCTTACTACGAGTTATAAGCAATGTTTTGAAAACCGGATTGGGCCTTGACCTGGGCAAGGGCTCGGTTCACGTTTTGATCGGTCTGATCGGTCAAATTGGTAGTTCAAAAAGTTTAAAATCTTACAAAAACATCCTTAAAAGTATTTTAGTCCTTGTAGGTTTGAAATCTAGCAAATATACCCCTGTGATTTGTTTGGGTTTTGATTTTTTCGGTCAAATTTTGGCTAATTACGGTGGTTGAAATTCAATTTGACACGGCCACTTAAACCATTGTCCTTTACTTTACAAAATTCCTCTACCCTAGAACTTGGTAGCTCTCCATTCGTCGATCGCGACTTGCGAATACTGTTGCGATTAGGTTTATTTTTTGGATAAATTTCGGTTGATTCTAACGTTTAAAATTCAATTCAACACTTGAACCACCAGTCTTTACTCTACAAAACTCATCCAACCTCAGCACCTGGTAGCCTCCAGTTCGTCAGCTGTGACTCGCGTATTGGGTTGATTTTTCCCAATGTTTTAAAAACTAACCCAGGGCAAAATCCGACAAACTAGTTGGGTCTCGGGTTTACCGGTTCAATCAGTGATGTCATTATGTTGATGTCAGCATGATGATGTTAGTCAAACAATTATTCCAAAATCCAAATCCAAATCACAAATTCCTGAATAAAAACTTATCAAAGTATCATTAAACATTATTAAATTAATACAATCCTTATTACAACTAATTACAAATCAAAATAACAAAATTACTGAAGAAATCACATAATAATTAATAAACATTTTAGCAAAAAATGATCTTCACCCAATGGTCTACAATCCATCCTCAATTGAATTTCACAATTCACACAGGATCTAACAGATGTTTATCATCATTATTAACATCAACATCATCAACAAAAAGTTTTAGCAAAAAAGGAAAATCATAAGTTAAATCTTCCTATTTAAACTAATTGAATTTAAACTAGCTATTATCAAATTCAAATTGCTTAAAAAATTGGAAACAACCTTCTAAGCATCTTAGTCACAATAAGAATGGTGATCGCCGCCATCCATAGGAATAGATCCTTCTCCATATAATGATTGTTCCAGTTCATCATAATTAAGTTCACCAACCTCTTTTTCCTCATCAACTATCCAACATTCAGTTTTACCAATACTTTCATAATTAATAGGATCAAAAGTAATTTTCTTCGTAACAACTCCTGAAATATTAGAATTAAATGTTAAAATCATGACCAAAAAAGACATCTGAAAATAAAAATAAGAGATAATAATTAATAAGAAAATGGATGAAAGCTTTATACCTATTTTGCAAACGCAAGTTATAATGAATGAAAACCAGATCATTCAATCGTTGATGCTCCAATTTGTTCCTCTTTTTAGTATGTATGCATGCAAAAACACTTTAATTTCACTCACATCCCGAAAAGGCTAAAGTTTGACTTAGAATTTTGATTGTAAACTTTTACAAATTTGAAGCACTAAACCCAAATGTCCCCCAAAATTCATCTAACTGAGAATAAAACATGAGAAATAAACACAATTTCATAATTGAAAAATTAGACTTGAAAATTTAATAACTATTATATACCAAGATGTGTAGTTTTGCAAGTTTGAAGAGCAAGCTCATGAGAAAAGCTCCTAGACGGCTCTCGATATAATCTACTCTCCTCTAGTAATATTGTCTTGTTCATTTTGAACTCACTTGATTTACTCTCAATAGTGTCAAGGAAACCATAATGACATCCTGTTTTTTGGAAAAAATATTTTCATCATATTTAAAAGCAGGATTCAAATAATAAGCTGTTGCATGAATATCACGGCACAATATCTTATCCCAGTGTATCTTAATAATTGTTGTATAAGGCTTGTGCAAACTTTTTGTTATTCTTAAACAGCTTCTTGATTCACATCCTCGATCTGTGCATGTCATCATACACATATCCTATTGAAGAGCTCTCATCTAAGTCTAAAATCTGAAGCATACGCATCAATGGACTCACAACTATGGAAATTATACCAATATCAACCCAAAATCGGTTATCTTGAACTAGGGAAATAAATGTTTTGCCTTTATTAGTTTTTGCATAACGAGACTCTACAAAAGTTCTATCTATCACCGTAGATTGCAGGTCATGTTTGTGTCGATGTAGCTACTTAATGCAATGAAAGTTGTGGCAAAATGGGCTGCACCAGGGCATACAATTTATGTCCAACTCTATGCAAGTGATAGACAATAGATGTTAGTAAATTATAAAAAAGAAATGTATATATATAATATGACCTGACAATGTAAATTATAAACATATGAGGTAAAGGTATATAACCTTTTTCCTCAGCAAAGCTACCACAAATGTATGATTATACACAAACTTTGTAACCTCATATGCACGTCTTGAAAGGTTAATTATGTGATTCATCTCAGCTATGTCTTTTAACATTAAATTAATGCAATGTGCTGCACAGGGAGACCAAATAATACTGCTATTTTTTCACACAACATTCTTCCAGTTGCTTTATAATTTGCTACATTGTTAGTGACAAGATGGACAATATTGTTTTGTCCAACCCATAAAGCTATTTCCTCAAACAAGTTGAACAATGTTCCAACATCCTTTACGACATCTGAAGCATCCACTGATTTCACAAAACACACTCTTTTAGGACAGTACACTAGAAAATTAATTAGTGACCTATGTGAAATATATGTCCATCCATCAGTCATTATAGTACATCCAATATCCTCTCAAGTTTTCTTGTAACCATCAACAAGTAATTGCACTTCTTTCTTAGTATCTCTCCATAAATTTACACGCAAACTATGATAAGTTGGGAGTTTATACCTAAGACCAATTGCAGTTATAGCATTCACCATAGACTGAAAATAAATTGAATTAATAACATTTATTGGGATGCAAGAATCATAAAATAACCTTGCAACAGCCATGTCCGCTCTCCACTTAGCTTCTTTTTCGGCTAAAACAATATTAATAGAGGGATGAGAACTAGGCTTAGTCCTTGGAGCAAAATAGTCACCAATCCCAACATGTCTTTTTCTCTTAGTGCTTGAAGCTGGAACTGGAGATGGAGAAACTAGTTCACAATCTTCATCTAACATATCATCCTCAAATTGTTGTACACTAGCTCCATAAGGATTGACATTCTTACAAAGTTCAACTTTTTGTTTATTCTTTGCCTCAAATTCATTTAGTGCATCTTGAATCTAACATCAAAAGGAACTTTAGAGCACTTTCCAACTTCCCCCTTTATACCTACTAGATGCAGTTTCACTCAATAAATAACTTCGCCTCTGATTATCTTGCCACAGTAAAGACATGTTAATATCTTCTTCCCATTTTCATCTACACCCTCAATAACATGTCCCATGCTATATCATTCCTTCCTCGAAAAGATTGTGAAACATCCATGGAAGAAGATTGTTGACAAGACCCAGATGATGACATTTATATCTTTAATCTTTATCTCTATCCTAGCAACACAAATAAGTTTGTATTGATAATAATCAAACAACATAACAAACCCAAAATGATTTCTAATGAATGATAAAAAGAAAGAAAATATTAGTGTAAATATTAATGTAACTAAAGAATGCCCTTTAGCCTTTTGTGCCATTGTAATTTAGTTACCAATTAATGGATCTTCAATGGTTTGGCAGTGTCTTAATGGATTACAAGACAACTTTGGTCATAATATTTCTTTTTGTCAATTATAAATACAAAACACTGCACACTAATGAACAAATTATATGAAGGCCTAGCAATGGCATTGAAGTTATCAAATAAGATCAACCTTAACATAATTTCCTCGTGTGACCTATAGAGCTAAAGAAGATTCAATCAGGAGGAAGGATTCTCACTAACAAGAAAATGGCTTAGTAGCGATGAATAAGTTGCTTGTATGCTTCCTTATCTTTCGAGTAGTAGTTGATTTCAGCCTACAAATAAAGAAGTCATACTCAACATGGTTAGTTTGAAGCTAAACAAAAGAACTCGGGTTATCTTCAAAGTAGCCCCCAATTCCATTCTACAACCGGATGGCTTCAAAGATTAAAGCAATAGTAATAATATTAATATCAAGAAAGAAAGACCACGGCAGCAACAAAATCAAGAAGCAAATGATATTTGTAGAACATTGTGATAAAGATCTTAACAAAAATATCAACAATTCAGGGACAAATTTGTTAATTCTAGTGAAAGTTGAAGTCTTGTAAAGTCAACTATGAACCTCAAGTTATGAAGCAAAAATTGGGTTGAGAAATATTAAAGAGTCAAAGAAATGGCAAAATGATGGATTGACAAAAGAAGATGCATACCAGAAGTGAATTAAAGTAAACAGGGAAAAAAGAACAAAAGAAGCACTGAGGACGACACCTCGCAAAGATGAGCTACAACTGACGATGAAGAGGAAGAGATCGCTGGTGAAGAGAAGAGATCGCGTAAATGGGAGGAAGAGACGACGATACCTGGGCAAGATAAGCTGTAGCTGACGATGAAGAGGAAGAGATCGACGGTGAAGAAAGGAGATCACGCAAATGGGAGGAAGAGACGACGGTACTTGGCGAAGATGAGCTGCAGTTGATGACGAATAGGAGCAGATCGATGGTGAAGAAAAGAAATCAATGGTGAAGGGGAATCACGGTGGAAGATTTTCAGAGTAAACGTCAAAGGGAAATGGCATAAAAATGGGCAAAAATCACTGGAATTTGGGTTTAGGGAATGAAAGGGGTTGTTTTTTTAGTTGACTCGGTTAATTGGAAAAATCAGTTA